TATATATATAAATCTATAAACATATCTTTATCTGTCTCTCTCAGATATCCATCTATCATTATATGCCAAGAAATTAGGCAGTAAAATGTCCAGAAATCTCACGGGGTCCGAAGAAATTATAGAACACCGGCATCCTTTGATCAGAAGGAAGTCCAGAAATCTAATGGGCAGTAGCCTGTGAGATGTCTGGACTGCTTTCACACACCCGAGAAGTCCAGAAATCTCACGGGTCTGGAGAAGTGATGGAACACCGGCCGAAAGGGTGTCGACAGCAGTAGCCACCGTGCAAATTTCAGGTGGTTCCGGAAGAAGCGGTCGAAATGTGCATAGTGTATGGCCATCTTTACAATGTTACTATGAGAACTTTGTTAGTAAACCATCTCAATAGTGTAAAAATTAAAATGAACAGTTTGACCTTTTAAAACTTAACTGCAGGCTTTTTAGGGTGTACCTTGTAAGCTCAAGGTCCATAACTGGTTAATCTCCTCTCTGGATTGTTTTTCATCGACCTGCTGAGCATCTTCCCTTCCCCTGGAAGCTGCAAAATGTGAAGCTACATTTCCTATATTTCCAGTAGATTCCGTAGCCAGCTAATCTTATCCAATTTGTGGGATGTAGAGGATGATTTACAAGTTACAATTAGCAATTTCACCTACATATTTCAGTTTCTGAGCTTTTCATCACCTTTTATGCAACAGAAATCCACCATTTATGCTTTCGGTACCTAGTTTTGAACAACCAAACATCTAAATTAAAGAGAAAACTAATCCCCACCACAGTAGTGGGTCAGAAAGCAGTTTTGATCGATTTCCATGCCAGTTGAAATGCTTCTATTTGGTCACTCAAAACTGTGAAACAAAAATCACGCACGAGAGACTGCTGTAGTTAAAAGCTGATGGGCAGTTTAAAAACTGCCAACAAAACTGAACTGAACAGCATTATACTACTATTATAATTTCTCTGAAGTTTTCAGGGCACCAAATTGGAAAGATTGTTTAACCATCCGGATGGAAACATAAGCCCCTAAACACTTTAAAAAGAACCTGTGGCCAGGTTATGAGTATTACCAAGCAGCAATTATGCATTTGAAAGTCCTCACTGCAGGCACTAGAGTAATACATCAACAGAAGCATTGAAATCCCAGCTCATCTCACCTTGCTTCCTCAGGCAGCAGGGACTTGGCAGCTTGCCAGCCTTCTAGTATAAGCAAAGCGCAGGTGCTTTAAAAAAGGAGAACTATGAGGAGAGTTATTTTTACTCAACCTCATAGTTCGAGCCGTTATGTGACAATTAAACCGTCACACATCGGCTCAATAGATCGGGAAGTGAGCGAACACATACCGTTGCTCACTCACTTCTCGATCATGTCCCTGCAGAGAGCCGTGACTGTCACTCACGGGCTCCCTGCAGGGATCCCCCCCGCTAAGATTCTCCAGCGCTGACTGGTGGTACGGACGGGGAGGGTACAGCTGGCTCTGCCTCTAGATAGGCAGAGCCAGCTGTCAATCACGCAGCTGGGTGGATCTCGACAGTAATGTCGGGATCCGTCCCGGCTGCGGCGGTCTCAATATACCGCGAACTGAGCTTTGGGTCATGGGAGGAGGTTAGTATATGTCCTCCCATGACCCTTACCCCATAGTTCTGTAACTGAACCTCAGAGTCTCTGTTGTGAAATTTGACGATTACTTACTCCAAAGTACCTTCTAAAGCAAAAAAAATTAATAAATAGATCAATTCAATTCACTGATCAACTCAACATATTGCCTTTCACTGCCTCTTAAAATAACTCTGAAACCAGTTACCATAACACTAGAAAATAAACCTCTGTGAGGGTTTAAATGTCTTGCAAAGTGCAAAAAAAAAATACCAGTTGATTCTGCCAGCAAATCAGTTAAACTATATCTTCCTATACATGTGCCTCTGTGGGCACGTGGGCACTGTTGTTATCTTTTATCATGCCTGACCAGTTCTCTCTGTGGACTGCAAACCACCTCTCCCTCCAGTATGGAGATGAGGAGAGGGAGGAGTTTTGTTTAGTCCTAACACACTTCCTGTTCTAGGGTGATGACGCTGCTCCTCCAAAGACACAGTATAATCTAAGGGCCGGTAAGCTGGTACATTTTTGTTCTTGGGTTTAGATACTCTTTACACTAATACTTACTCCTAAAACTTCACCCAACTGTAACCCATAATTTAATGGCCAACACTACATAAATCCCTACATACACGCACTTTGTCAACCATTGAAATTTCCCTCTCTTGGACTAAGATGTCAACGCTAAAGAAAATTGCTTCAGGGATGCAAGAAGCCAACTCCCCTCCCCTGACTCAGAAACTAAATATCGGCTTGGCTGAAGCCTGCCTTCACTACCAAGAGTTTAAAAATTCAGCTCATCAGCACATCCCCTAATTCACACACAAACCCATAATTACTTACCTAGAGTAGGTCTGATGAGAGGTTGACTTTGATCTATGATATAATGAATTTCCTCCTTCACATCAATGATAGCAGCAAACTTCTTTTCCCGGTCGGATCCAGAAGCTCCCAGTCTCTGTGCATATAACCAGGATATATTGGAATCCAAAAGGTACATATTTAAGGTCTTGTTGGTCCTGCACCTAAGGCCAGCAATGTCCCCATTGCTGATATGATAGCCCGGAGTAACTTGTCTCTTCTCCTCAATGTGAGGCATTACTGTTAGAGATTTCTGACTTTGGTTCTTCCCAAGGGAAGAAAGTGCAAAAGGCACATTCTCCGCACTGGAAGCTGAATCAATAAGTCCTCTATTAATTGTCTGACAACATGCAGTATAGTGGTAATAGGGACTGTATGTACTAAGAAAGTTGGTGCATTCTCTCATCCTAGACATAAAGCCAAGGAAGTATTGTTCTTTGAGGTAGAAAGAATCTAAGGCTGCTCCAATGTCCTGGAAGTTACAGTGGTGAGTGCCAACTCGACTTAGGATGACTCCTCTGGTTTGATTAACACATAGCTCACACACATTGTGAACTTGGGCTAAAAAGTGCCACTGTGGAAGGACGACAGTGTTACAACATGAAAATAATTTGAATGACTTTAACATGGGATCTATAGTTTCTTGAAGGGTAGGTTGAGTAAAGCAGTTTTCAGTGCAATTGTTGTAATTCAGAGCAACTTCCATGATCTATGAAAGGTAAAGACATGTAAACAGCAGTTAGAATTCTTCTGCTAAAAACTAAAAATGAAATATCTTAGGGCACAATCCTCTTTAGAATACATTTCCAGGGATTTTAAAATTAAACATACATGATAAAGTTCAGGCAGATATAAAAGACAAATCAAGGCCGCTAGGTATAAAACATTATTTCATTGATTTTTTTAAATTAGACTAGTGTAAGCATTTGAATTTGACTTCATATCTGCCTCTTGCAATCTTGTATACAGCAGCACTTAGGAGGTGGACATCATCACTGGGAACCAATCAGAGATGGAGATCCTCACTCGCAACCAATCAGATGAGTTGCATGCTGATAAGGCAAAAGCTGATAGGAGAAGAGAGTAGTAAAATAGGAGATGACCCCATCAGTCCGCTGCTGCTCCTTCATTGTGCATTTAACAGGCTGGGTCTGAATAGAGGATAGAACTGCATTCTTTCTACAATTTAACTGTACCAAAGAAAGTGGTCTCAGCCTTGGCTGTGCAGTGTACATTTCAGAACTGGATAGAAAAAAATACAAATACTGTTACATTTAAACCGGCTCCTTTATATAGATTTCATCTGTGTATTAGCGGTTTGCCTTGAGTACAAATTTAGTATTCTGTACCTACCCCTATTCTTACACCTTTGGCAAAAACTTTTTCAATCAAAGGTTTAGAAAAATACAGGATGAATTTTAAGCATCAAATAGAGAACTTAATTGAATCCTGATAAATACTATAAAACAAAGAAAATACCGCACAACCAACACCACAAATTATACACAACGGCTGACTAGCATTCATATTTTAATTACTAGACTCCATGGAACTGAAATTGCAAATGGAAACAAAGTGCTTAGGATTCAGGCTGACAAGCAGCATCATTGTACAGACAAAATAGAGCAAAGGCTACTACAGTTCATGAATCGAGTTCTCACATGAGCTAGTAAACATGTTGAGTAATCACACTATGAATATGCTCTGTATATCCCCTGAAGCTTACAAAAGATTCTGCAGCTGTAACAAAATGTTCCCTCCTTGAAAACAAAGAAAAGTTATTTTTTTATTCAAGGTAAAGAAGCGTGTTAGAAGCACTCAACTAAAAAGTACTTTAATAAGCACAACTTTCTGTAATATCAAAGTTAGAAGGGGGGGGTTACCCACTTTACTATCACAAGGCCTCCAGTTATTTGTCTGATCCTGCACCTCTCTGCAAATGAAAGCTTTCACCCCAGATTTCTACAGGTAGACTGATGATAGATGGAAGGTTTCACAATCAGTTAGTAAATTATACAAATACTTTCATTAGTGGGCAGTGTACAGAGTGCTATTAAGCTGGCCGTACACCAGTAGAATTTAATTCTATTTTCAGAACATTCATTTTATTTTCTAATAGTTAAAGTGACACTAAACTCAGCAGTTAAATCTCAAAAATACATTCAAGTGCATTAACTATTACCAAAAATTTATCTTATTTGTGTATCACTCGGCTGTAGATCCTCAAATCTCTCAATTGGTGCCGACACTGTCCTTCTGGAGGGTGACTACTTTTGTTCCCCATGGTCCCTGTGTGTGTTGTAAAGTAGCCACTGCTCCAAGCTTGCTCCCATGAGGTCTTGTTCACACCAAGCGCGTTCCAGGAGCAGAGCAGTTACAGACCGGATCAAAACTGCGTCCAATGTATTCCAATGGTATTTTGGGCTCTAGTTCACACCGCAGCATTCTGTTCCAGAGCATGTAAAAAAACTGCAGTAAGCCCTATTTTACCTGCTCTGGAACGCATGCAAAACCATAAAAAATCGCATGCAAAGGCCCTGGAACGCACTAAAAGCCCATTTTAAACTAAAAAAAATATATATTTTTTAATACCAGAAAGGCCCAAAACGCATTTAAAACGCGGCACAACCCACTGCACTGCGTGTGCAGAAACTCATGCAGATCTGGTCTGCATTTGGTGTGAACAAGCCCTCAAGGACTACATCCTCACATTTAGTTTACTAATTTGTATGGAGATTGTAGTCCATCACAGGACTGAGCTTGAAGTGGTAGCTAATTTACAACACACACAGGGACCATGAGGAACAAAAGTAGCCACCCTCCAGAAGGAAGGATAGTGTCAGTACCAATTCAGAGATGATTTGAGGATCTACAGCTGAAATAAGAAATATTTTTGTTAATCGTTGAGGTACTTGAATGCATTTTTAAGAATTGACTCCTGAGTTTGTCAGTTTAATGGAGTCAAATCAACAACCGTTTTCAA